AAGACAGTTCGGTCGTTTATATCTCTCTCAACTCGAAATAACTGCGCACCTCCAAGTACCCCATTGTAGAGCTCCAGTTTGCAATACTGAAAAAAAACATTACGCTCTTTAGTACTGTAATTTTTAGGAACTTTTGGCATTTCGGCTTGACTTAGCTGCCACTAGAAATTTTCGGAAACATGGAAGCTAGTTTAAAGTGAATCACTCGCTCATCCCATTCTCTCGGAACACTTTGCACAAGTTGAAAAGTGTGACTGAGCGAGTGGAAGGATTCTAACCGCTCAAAAACGATTTCAGAGAGAAAGTAGTCTTTATTTGCGTAAGTTAACACATTCACGGCATGATCGATTTTTCGAGTACTGCCATTTTGGATCAAAGCATATTTCGCTTAGTTTGCGTAATATTTTCTGGCCACTGATGGATCGTTTGGTCACCGGTGTCAATCTTCCGGCAAATATTCTAAGAGATGTATACAAAATTTGTTCAGTTTGCCCAGAAAATTTCATCGTGAACTAGCAAAAGCGAAAACTTCAGAAAGCGTACGAGTCACCGGTGGGTCGATTGTCCGAAATGGACAGGACACGTACGACCTCCGGTGGTCTAGTGTTGTGAATGTGTTGAAGGAGATTTTACAACTATTTTACGATGAAAAACGATAAACTGAAGATAAATCTACAAAATGATAGGCAAGAGTCGGATATGCATATGCTGAGCGCGAGAGCCACTGATAGTCAAAAAGTTTAGAACAGCTTGCTAATTAAACATTTTGGAACAGCTTTCCAGCATGGAATTAACGAATTTTGAAGAGCACGAGAATAACGTCCTGTTTGCGCACAAACTATCGCTCAGTCTAGTCTCTCGCAAGCTCACGCATTTTTTACTGCAATTTTTTATCAAAGTAAATTAGCAAATGTGAGGAAGGAAGCTTATAGAAAGCTGACTGGTAGTGCTGGAGCGATGCTTTAATATTAAACGCAAGAAAACTCTGGTTATTCGTGGCAAGGTCCCTTTCTCGTTCCCCATGAATTTCGTTCTACAAGTTATTATTATTGGTATTTCGTTCTTCATCATTACTGAAGGGACTTCG